TGTTCTGTTGTATTTTACTACTTTCAAAATAAAATTTTTTTAAAAAGTAGCTAAACTGTGCAGGCAAGGATCAGACTTCTGATACTCCTTTCTCAACCTGCCTGAATGCTAAGATTACAAGCATGAGCCATGATGCCTGGTTGAACTTTTCTTTTCTTTCCTTTTTTTGTTATATTGTGTTTTGTTTTGCTTTACTTTGCTTTGTTGAAGACAGGATCTCACTATGTAGTGTAGGCTCTCCTTGAACTCACTTCTTTAGGCCTTAGCTCACAGCAATTCTCCTGCCTCAGCCTCCTGAGTGCTGGGATTACAGGCATGCATCTCTGTGTACCTTTTCTTAAAAGGCCACATAGTACAAATTTTAGGTTTGCAAGACATACTGTCTCCCTCAGCCTTTCATTGTGATATGAAATTGGTCATAAAGACAATGGGTGATTAAGTGGATGTAGCAGTGTTTCAACAAATATTTATTTACAATAACAGGGTCCTGGCCTGTACAACACAATTTGTTGATCCTTATTCTCTATTATTTGGAGTGTGAAGAGATTAAAATTCAAGCAGCCACTGTTATCCTCTGCAATCCAGAAGTTTTATTGATTTGTACAAATTCTTTTCATGTGCAAAATAATTTATATATGCAAATGCAAAATTCTTTATGCAGCAGACTCAGAGACACAGGGCCCAGATCCTCCTTCAAAGAAAAGCATGAATAGAAAGGCAGGTGGTCTCCAGCCATCAGCTGTTTAGGGATCTGCCATAGCATCCCAAGGATCGATCTCCATACACACACACACACACACACACACACACACACACACACACACACAGGGCCTCATGCATGTACGGTGAGGAGTCCACCCCACTGGCTACACTTCTGTCCATTTCTCTTGTTAGGGAACTGAAACATATAGACCTGATTGCTCATGATCTTGGGATGATCTTCCCTCTAATAGCCACATGGTTTGTCTTTATTTCTTTCTGGTTTTATTCAAAGGTCCTCTTCCCACATACTTTTTTTAAGTACTAGTGATTGCAGCAGTGGCCTTCACACTAAGCTATATCCTCATCCTTTTCTTAATTTCTTATTCTGACATAGGGTCTGGCTAAGTCACTAAATTTCCCAAGCTGGTCTCAAACTTGCAATCTTCTGCCTATACTTCACAGAGTTCTGAGATTACAGGCATGCACTGCCACGTGCATCAGTGTTGGGCGCAGGCGCTCAACATACCATACCCCATCCGGGACTAAGGACCACGCCAGCTTCCGCAATGCGCTACGTCCCTCTTTAAATTAGCCAACCCGTGCGCACCTCGTGCTCACTCCTTATTCGCCCTGTGCCGACTCTGTGGCAACTCCTGATTGGCCACAGCTGGATATAGTAGCCAGAGCCTGCGTCCCATTCCCGCCCTGCTTCCTCGTGGCAGCCTGTGATTGGTCACGGCTGAATATATAAACCAGAGCCCGCGTAAATAAAGCAGCAGTTAACTGTCGCCCACAAGAGCGTCTCCTGTCTTATTGGGGGGCTGCGCCGGTCACATCAGCACATACATATTGTTTTATTAGTTTTCTTTTTTCATTAGCACTGACAATTACCTGTCACTTTTATACCTTGGTTATTTTCTGTCTTCCCAATTGGGATGTGATCTATTATGTCTCAGTTACTTTTTCTTCTAACAAAATACCTGACAGCCAAAATTACAGGAGCAAAGATGTATTTAGCTCACAGTTTACAGAGGGTTCAATTCATTGTTGACTGGCTCCAAAACAGGGGGGCATAGTGGAGTGGTACTGCAGAGCACAAACAGTTCGTGACATCACAGAAGCCTGCAAAGTAGCAAGTGAAGTCAGCAACCCTCTTTCTGTCCCTTATATTCTATCCAGGCTACACGCCCTTAAGGTGGGTGGCACTGACACTCAAGGAAGGCCTTCCCATGATCCACACATAGTACTATGCCAAACCAATCAGTGGACTAATCTAGTAATCACACTCTTGTTCCCAGAATCACACACTCTAGAGCCAGATACTATTGAAAAGCTCTACCTATGACCACATAAGGCTTTGGGAGCACAGCTAAACACAAACCATAATACACAAACCGTAACATGTAGTGACTATAAATAGTAATATGCCATATATTCCAAGGAATTTAAAAGAAATGATTTTTGGGGCTGGGGATTTAGCTCAGCGGCATAAGCACCTGCCTTGCCAGTGTGCGGTCACTGAGTTCAATCCCTGGTACCGATAAAAACGAAAAAGACAAAAAAAAATTATTTTGAATGTTTTTGCTACAAAGAAATGATAAACATTTGAAGAATAGCCACCCTAATTTGAACATAACGCAATGTATACATGTATTAAAACATCACAAAGTGCCTATAAATAAATGTAATTTTCCTGCACCCATTTTGGTAGTTGGGATTGAACCAATGGCCCTACACACATTAAGTAAATGCTCTACTGAGCTTCATCCCCAACACTAACCAAATAAATTTAAAAAGAATCTGAGCTCCACGAGGGAAAGAATTTTTGCTTTCTTTAGTTACCATTTTATCCCCAACATTCCAAGTGTACACTGTTCACTGACTGAGTGAACAGAAATGACAATTCATCCATAAAGTTGGGTAGCTCACTGTATCCCACAACAGATATTTATAAATATTTAGATTGTGTTTAACCAATCAAATAAATGTTTTTTTTATTTTACCTTGGAAATTAATGTTTTGTTCTTGTTTTCATTTGTGTGCATGTTTTGTTTTTGTTTCATCCTTTCAAGACACTAGTTCAGGATGGTTTTGAACACACTTTGTAGCCCAAGCTGGCCTCAAACTCACAGTGATCCTCCCACCTCAGCCTCCCAAATGCTGGGATTACAGGTGTGTACACCATGCCCAGCCTTAATGTACAATTGTAGAGTAAAAATTCAATCACACAAAAAGGCTTACCCTGTCACTGTAAGTCAAAGACTTTTATGGAGCTTTATTCTCTGATTTAGACCAGTTTAACCCCCATGATCACAACCCTCAGTTTTCAGGCCAAATTATAATGAATGTGTAAAGTATCACAGACACACTAGTCCTATCCTGGTCATATCACCTAGGCTTAATTCAGGAATGTAGAAAGCCAAAGTGGAAATTTTGAAAAAGAAACTGGCAAAATACATGGACCATAGTGGCCAGATACCTTGTTCATAATTCTCAAGATCTTGAGATCTACAGAGAAGGGCACTGGACAGGCTCTAAAACTCCTTCCTACAAAGAAGGGAGGAGTCTGCTTGGACAACATGTGAGTATAAAGCAGCATTTCACTAGATTATTACAAAGTCTTGTTTATGTTCTGTAAACTTTCCACTTATAGAAACAAGAAGTCTAAACAACTGCCCAGGGGAAACTGAGTTATAATCTAGAAAGTAGAGGTTGACTATTCAGGGAGACAAATGGAGGAAAGAAACCTCACTTGACCTTCTCAAGACAAGACCATCCCAACCACATCCCCCACATGGCTGGTCTACACTTCCCAGGACCAGAAGCTGTCTGGCTTCCCAGCCACTACATGCAGCATCTTCTGCTTATTCCATGGATTCATAGTCTTACAAGCAACTTGTTCATTCATTTGCTCTCTGGGCACCAACTGATATTTATCTTACTGAAGGAAGCTGAACAACAGTTTTGGTTTTTTGAGACAGGGTATTACTATATAGTTCAGGCTGGCCTTGAACACACTATGTAGCCTAGACTGGCCTCGATCTCACGATGATCCTCCTGCCTCACCTTCCTGAGCGTGAGATTACACGCATGTACCACCATGCCTAGGTCTGAACAAGTAATTTTTGATATAACAGACTATAACTTCATAGAGAAAAATTCTGTCACTAACCTCTCCTCTGCAAGAAAAAATTCAAGTAAATTAGTAATCTTTTTTATTTGAAAAAATGAAGAAAAGGACCTTATTCAATTCTTATCACAAATTTTAAAGACAACTTGAGTGTGCTGGTCCCTGTGCTCTGTGAGGAGACTAAACCATGACAAGGTTGACTCTACCAGACAGGCACCCCGGTGATTATCACACTGCCCCTTCCAAATGCTCTGGTTTGGTTTGAGGCCTTTTTGGTGGATGAAGGGTCTCATTTCTAAAGTACAGAAAACATGTCATCCCAAACTGACAAGGACCATTCATTCCCAAAAGAGAACTGAGAAATTCAAAAGACTGAAAAAGACTGAGGAAAGATCACAAATGATTGATAGACCTTTGTCTGATTACCATTGTAGGCTGAATGTGGTGGTGCACAGCTGTAATCCAACCCTTGGGCTGGTAAGGCAGGAGGATTTGTCATGAGTTCCAGGCCAGCCTGGACTACATAGCAAGATCCTGACTAAAAAAATTATTTTTTATTAATACAGTATGGCTTTTGTGTGTTTATTCAGGGATTAAAAACATTGCTGTCACACAGTGTGGTGGCACACAATATGGTGAGATTTGTAATCCCAAAACTGCAAGAGGATCACAAGTTTGAAACTAGCCTGAGTCGTGTAGTGAGTTCAAGGTCAGTATATAAACTACATAGTGAGTCTCTATTTTTTAAAAAATGCTGTCCTTAAATTACTTTTTCTGTTCACAAAAACAAAAAGGAAAGAAGGAAAAAAAAGAAAACTATCCCTAAGTGTTGGGTCAGTTTTCCTAATACAATATCCCTCCTCTAGGAATAATTTTGAATCCTGGAACACAAAAAGGTTGTTTCTGATCGATAAAACCCTCCTAATGTGCACTATTCCCTAATGTAATTTCCAACACTTCTGCACTCTTTCAAAAAATAACCACCATCATTAAAAGATTTGAATGTTTCATTCAAAATGGGTTAGTTCCTGTGACAAATAGCCAATGTAATTCTAATGAATGTTGTACTAATCCTTATGATGGATTCCTGTGAATCAGACGCAGTCACAGGCCACAGGGAGGATAAACAAGAAGCCAATCCCTTCCTGTGAGTTAGTGGCAGTTGTGAGCCATGGGGAGGAGAAACAATAAGCCAGCCCTTTCCTGTGAGCTGACCAGCAATGCAGGCTGGGAGACAAGAAGAGCCGAGTCCCCCTACTCCCAGCTGATCCACAGAAACAAGCTGGGATGATTGCTACTGAGGTAGAAAAAAACAACTTAATATTTGTAGTGCGTAATATTCAATTGACTTTGCAGGTCTAAGGCTCATGTTCTGGGCATCTATTTGGAGGATAACAATATTCAGTATAGTAACTATGGGGGATCTCCTTCTGAAAATAGCAACCATTGTTAATTCCCTATTATCTTGTTTTAAAATCCTGTATTGTTTTCATTGTTTTGTTTGGTTTGGTTTTATTCTGCTTTGTTTTGTTTGATTTTATTACATCTGATGGCATAGGCAGCTATTTCAAAGACAGCAATATATATTATGGTAACCATTTTGAACTTACTGTTATCTTGTTTTGAAGCCCTGTATTGCATTCATTGTTTTGCTTTTATTGGTTCTATTCTGCTATATTTTGTTTGATTTTCCTATGGCTAATAATATGGGCAGCTATTTTGAAAATAAAAAGAGGCTTTATGGTAGCCATTGCTGATTTCTTATTATCTTGTTTTGAAGTCCTGTATGACTTTCACCGCTTTGTTTTGATTGGCTTTATTTTGTTTTATTTTGTCCTTTTAAAGTAAAATCTTTATGTTGTTCTCCTGAGTTCAATACATCACTGTATTTTAATCATCTACTATTCAGTTGTTCAATTACCCAAATAGATTGTTGATGATCATTTATTGGGACTTATTTCATCAGTGGTACAAGAATTTATTTTTGGGTCCCAAGAAATGGGTCTGCATTATGTGATTATGGAGATACTACTCTGGCTACGCATCACTTCTAGTCTCTCCCCTATGCAAAATTATAGAAACTCAGAGAAATGACTGAAGTGGAAAAGCTTTGGACATTAACTTCCCCAATAGATGGTATTGCCAGGTCCACTAAGAAAAATTATCAAACATTTTAGAAAAAGTTGATAATGTCATATATAAAGAAGACATTACAACAAAAAGCTTTCTTCCACCAGAAGTACAGCTCACTAGACATTTTGAAAACTTCCTTCTTAAAAATATGTCAATACTGGGTAAGTTTCAGCAAAAATATTCACAGGCTTTGTTAGGATGATAAGAAACTAAAAGAAATCTCTATGGGTCTAAAATAGGCACAAAAAGCTAAAATCAGTGATATGCCTGTATGAATATTAGGCCACCATGAGGGAAATGCTAACACCAGAAACCAGATCTTTGGAGAATAAGCAATATTCTAGAAAATAAGAATATTGGAGGATAAACAATATTATGGAAAATAAGAAGAGGCCCTTGCTTCAGGTCAATGCTAGTTTCTACTGCAGGAAAACCTGCTTCAAGGTGACATGGTGCTGAAGACAAGAGAAGCAGACACGTCCAGGTTTGCAAAGCACAAGTTATTGAGAAAACATATAGCAGAAGCAGGGTCCTGGGTGACAGCAAGACCACTTGGTTCCCTGCAGTTTGGGCCAGGAGAAAAGGAATGTAATCTGGTTAGCACAAAAGTTACTTCATCCTAGTTGGAATGTACCTGGTTTATCTTAAACTAATATTAGAGTTAGGCACATTCCTGGAGACAGGATCAGATTGTAAAGCTTCAGGTACTGCTCTAATGGTTTTGTTATTTATAGTTTTCTGGGAAACTATGAAAGAAAAATCAATGAGGATTACTCTGTATCAGTCATTCAGTCGTGCTCAAAGTGGCTGCAGTCATGTCAGATAACTCCACAAAGGGCTAAAGAAGGCTGGGGGATAACAGAGAAAATCGGTGTATCCTCACTTTGAGTCCAAGGAACAGCAGTAATAATGACAGAAATAAAGAGCTAACATCAGTGATGTACCCATATGGAAGCCAAGCTGCTGTGGGGAAAGGTTTAAGCTTTAAGTACAGATGTGACCTCTGAAGAGTCTGTGGTTAAACCAGGCATGGTGACACATCCCTGTAATCCCAGCATTCAAGAGGCCCAGGCAGAGGATTTCTATGAGTTTGAGACCAGCCTGGGCTACATCATGAGATGCTGATGCAAAAGGGAAAAAAAAGCAAAACAGGAAGAATTTGCAGTTAAATTTATATGATTTTCCCTTCAGTACCAGGGATTGAACTCAGGACTTCACACATGCTGGACAAACACTCTACCTCTGAGCTACATCCTTTGCCCCAAATGTATATGACTTTAATCCTGTGGATTCATTTTAATCAAGGTAAATCTCCCCAGGCATGGTGACTCACAACTGTAATCCCAATGACTCAGGAGGCTTAGGTAGGAGGATTGCAGGTTTGAGGCCAGCCTGGGGAACTTAAGGAGAATCTGTATCAAAATAAAAGTAGCTGGCAATGGAGAGCAGTGTGAAGGCCTAGTACTGTATTCAACCCCTAGAAATGTGGGAAAAACAGTCCTATAAATTGTGGACCAGTAAAGGAAAAATTTCTTGTATCCACAAAGAGCCACTGTGAGGAGTACTCAAAGGTAGACAAGAGTAGACAGCCTGAGCAAGAGGGAGGTTGATGACGGGGATTTCATGGGGAAAAGGGATTTGATGACCGCTGCAGAACTCTGTCTGCTGAGCAACGACACAGTCACAACTATGGGAGAGCAAAAAAGCAGACAAACTGAGTGAGTGAGGTATCCTGAGTAACCCAGTAGCTGGCATGATCGTACGAGGCCAGGAATGGTAATGTATAATTACACTGAGGGGAAGTAAATGTCCTAATGAAGTACCAGAGGACAGGTTACACTGAATGCAAACAGAGACTTAGAAAGTTAGAGGAGTATCAGTGGTTATAGTACTATGTATGGGTTTGTTTAGCTCTTGCACACAGAAGCATTAGCAGAATAAGACTGGAGGAATCAAACCACATGTGCTACCTGGTGGTTTGTTGTCTGACAGGGAAAGCAGCCACAGACTTCCTTTGAAGAAGTGGATTTGGTCTTTCATTTCATATTTAGGGTGGTAGGTGAGATTGGTAGAAACCCATACCTGGCGGTGGGGACTGGAATGTCTGTATAGGTTGCTGCCTATGTAAAAATACAGAGCCAGCAATCTTTAACTAAGGTAGGAAGCCATAGTTTGGCAAGGAATGAGTTGATACTAAAGTTTTGTAAAGATAATCAGGAGAGACTGGATAAAACTCCAGGCAAGTAGCCACGGGGCAAGAGGAAGAATACTAACTGAGGCAGAGGTCATAGGTAAGGGGTCAGGAATCTAATTAAGGCTATAGTAAATGAAAGCATGTGCAAAATGTGTTCCATCCCTGAGGCAAAAGACAACTGAGTTTGAGTTTCAGGAAGACTGAGAGTAAAATCTACAGAAAATGTGGGAAAAGGTGCTGACCCAACTGGTACCAAATTTGGGCGAAAGGCGTTTTAAGGGTCTGGAGACTTTACTGGCAATACCCACAATAGTAATTGGGCCAAGGAAGTTGGTTCTTGAAAGGAGGGCAAGCTCTTGCATCGATAAGAAATGAGATAGTCTTACCCCCCACACACACACACACACTCTGCAAGAATCACCTTGAGTTCAGTGTTTGAAATGTTCCAAGGAGCCTCTGCCAGTTTCAGGTCTAGTCAGTCCACAGAGGCCAGACCAGGAAGGTCTGTGAAGGATCTGGTGGGGGAGGTCCTGTGGCCATTCCTCAGAGCTAACAGAGGCAACTGCTGACACTGGGCAGTCCCCCACATGGACGACACAGAATAGGATTCCTCCCAGGCTATGGGCATTCCCTAGACCAGTGGCCATTCTGGCAGCATCTAAAACATGGCCCTGGAGGGATAGCCAGCAGTGGTTAACATCTGCAGCTCAGAAATTCCCTGTTTTCTTGTAGTATCACCTCTATTATTTAAAGCTTTGAAAGCCAAATTGTTAAGTTCATATTGTGGGGTCCGAGGACTAGTCTAATTTCTATAATTTTTTTACAAATGTCAGTTGCTGATTAGGTAATAAAATACATCTTTAGGATAAGATATTTCTCTGACCTTTCTGTGATTCAGCTAAGGACAGCAGCCATATGAACCATAAACTGAGCTAGGCTTTCATCCCTGTTCTACTTCCTTTAGCTTATCAAAATCAACTGCTTTATGGGCTGCCCTGTCCTTTCATTAAATTAGAAATCATATGATCTCACCTAGCTAGATCTCCAGATTCTGCCTGATAGTCCAAGGTAGGGTCCTCCTGAGGGATAGTCACCATCCCTACAGGAAGACCAGCCTGTTGGAGATGCTGTTCATCTCAAAACTAAATCAGGGAGATCACTCATTTCCACTCTTCCAAGGAAAGAGTGGAACCAAGAATCATATTTAAATCAGCCCAGGTTAGACTATATGACTGAATTAAGTACTAAAACTCTTGAATATACTGGGAAGGATCTAAGGAAAATGAGCCCAGATGCTGGTTAATTTGAGAAAGATCTATCAATGGGAAAGAAAATGAACTCAATTCTCTGCCCCCTGACATCTCCTGGTGTGAGAACTAGGAGGGCAGGGGGCAAGGTTTTGGGGCCAAACTGTAATCCAGACTGGAATGGATTGGGTTGGGGTGTAACAGATGTAGCACACAGAACAGGTGCCTGGTCATCAAGAGAACCTGGGACGGGGGGAGGGGGGGCATCTCTGGGAAGCTCTAAGAGAAAAGAAGTGGCCATACCAGCAGGTGGTCCCTGGAGTGCTGTTGCAGCAGGAGGGTCAGAAGCAAGAGGTTCTGGATGCTGCCAGAGGACAGGAAGTTTTATTGGATCTGTTGTTAGAGAGCAACCAGTGTCTTGCAGAGTGGGTGTATATGGGAGAGAAAGGAGGAGGATTTGTGAGGGATTGCATGAGGTACCAGTGATATAGGGGAATGAAACTCCCAACCTACTATACGTCCTATATGAGTTTGTGTTCTCTAAAACTGAAGAATGAATTTTAGGAACAATGGAGGTTAGGAGCAGAATATATTTATTGAGATAAAGAAAGCTACTATCTGGGAGAGAGACAGAAGTGTCCTGAGTGGGTTGCCAAAGATTCTGTCTTTTCTAGGGACTTTTATAGAGTAAAACCACAAGATGAGCAAGGTCCAAAGTGAGGAAAACA